TGGGGTTCAGAATGCTCTTTGATTGTAGGTGAACTATAAATCCCAGCAACTACAACTCCCAAATGTCAAGATGCTATTTTCCCTAAACTCCACCATTGTTCACATTTGGGCATATTGAGTATTTGTGTAGAGTTTGTTCCAGATCCATCATTGTTTGAGTCCACAGTGATCTCTTGATGTAGGTGAACTACAACTCCAAAACCAAAGGACACTGCCCACCAAACCCTTCCAGCGTTTTCTGTTGGTCATGGGAGAACTGTGTGCCAAGTTTGTCCTTCACTCAATTCCATCGTTGGTGGGGTTCAGAGTGCTCTTTGATTGTAGGTGAACTATAAATCCCAGAAACTACAATTCCCAAATGACAAAATCAATTTTTTTTGACTGAAGGACATACATTGGGTTGTTAGGTGGCTTGGGTCCAAATTTGGTGTCAATTCATCCAGTGGTTTTTGAGTTTTGTTAATCCCACAAACGAACATTACATTTTTCTTTATATAGATGTGCACTATTAGCAGCAGCATCTAAAACTCATTTTAGGCTTCCATTTTTCCACCCATCACAGGAATTTCCAATATAAGCAGGGACAATTGTTTTTGTTTTTTGTTTTTTAACATCTGTATCCATTGCATTGGTTCCTCCTCCTATACTTTTGGGCAGCTCTTCTAAAATACATGTAATGGAGGTATAACCTTTACTAGGGACGTTACTTCTGAACATTCCCTCATTACCTTTCTGATTACCAGACTGCACATTTCTTATTTTCTTCTTTCTTTTACAGTTCTGAAGTAGCAGAGTACTTTAGCTCTATAATTACAATAAGAAATAAATGTGTGAGGAATGGAAAATGGATGCTGGGGAGGAACATGGGGTATTGAGTTCATGATGGGGATGTCAGGGAGGTGAAACACATACACACTTTTCTTCCATATTGGGAGGAAAGAGCTAAAGAAAAGAAATGTGCAGATCAGGAGTGGGGTGTTGACAGCTACAATCAACCACAAACTAGAGCCAAAAATCCTGTGTATTTAGGGCACAACTGGATGCAAAATCAGAAACAAGCATTGTAAATTGTGAAATCCCCCAGCGAAAAACCCATATATTATCCAGCCTGGAGGAATCATAGAATCGTAGAGTTGGAAGATACCACATGGGCCATCTAGTTTAACCTACTGGCATACAGGAAAAGCACAAAGTATCCTTGACAGATGGCCACGCAGCCTCTGTTTAAAAGTTTCAGAGGAAGGAGACTCCACCACACTCCAAGGCAGAGAGTTCTGTGGCGAAATGAAAATCATGTGTAGCTCGCGTCTTTACCAATCCACATACTGTCTTGTTAGAGAAAAGATATGCCACGCAGATGATCAGTAAAGAATAAGGTGTTTACTCTTTGTTATGCAGAGCAAATATATACAGTCATGCGAACAGTTGCATTGTCTCACAAAATGTTCTTTGTGGTCCTTAGGTGTCCACGTGAGAGATCTTCTTCCAGCAACCAAGAAGCAAAAAAAAAAAAAATACAAACTGTCTTGGCAAGCTCCTGCACAGAAAACTTAAAACATGTAACTGTTGCCAAAACTCTCAGGCTCAGCTAGCTTCTGGACATGACCCAACCAATCAGCTTCGTGCATTGCATTTTTCAGTTAACACACTCACCAACTGATTTTTACATGCTCCGACAAGTTCCACTGTTGAACAGGTCATACAGTCAAGAAGTTCTTCCTAATGTTCAGATGGAATCTCCTTACCTGTAATTTGAACCCATTACTCCTAATCCTAGTTTCCAGGGCAGCAGAAAACAAGTCTGTTCCCTCTTCCTTATGACACCCTTTCACATATTTATACATGGCTATTATGACTCTTCTCAACCTTCTCTTCTGCAGGCTAAACATACCCAGTTCTTTGAGAAGCTCCTCATAAGGCATGGTCTCCAGATCTTTGATAATTTGAGTCGCCCTCCTCTGGACACCTTCCAGCTTGTCAATATCTCATTTGAACTGTGGTGCCCAGAATTGGACATAGTATTCCAGGTGAAGTCTCACCAAAGCAGAATACAAAGGCACCATGATTTCCCTTGATCTAGACACTATACTCCTTTTGATGCAGCCCAAAATCCCATTGGCTTTTTTAGCTGCTGCATCACAGTGTTGGCTCATGTTCAGCTTGTTGTCCATGAAGACTCCAAGATCTTTCTCACGTGGACTGTTGTTGAGCCAGGCATCACACATCCTGATTTTATTGCTGTATTATGTTGTCCGGGCTTGGCCCCATGTAAGCCGCTCCGAGTCCCCATCGGGGAGATGGTGGCGGGGTAGAAATAAAGTTTATTATTTTTTATTATTATTATCCTGTATCTTTGCATTTAATTTTTTCTGCCTAAGTGTAGTATCTTCCACTAATCCTTATTGAAATTCATTTTGTTAGTTTTGGCCCAGCTCTCTAATCTGTTAAGGTCATTTTGAATTCAGATCCTGTACTCTGGAGTATTAGCTTTCTCTCCTAATTTGTTTTCATCTGCAAACTTTAAGCACATCCTCTAAACCTTCATCCAGGTCATTAATAAAGATGGAACGATTCCATCAGCGCTGCCTCCGGAAAATCCTGCAAATCTCTTGGGAAGACAAGCGGACAAACGTCAGCGTGCTGGAAGAAACAAAGACCACCAGCATTGAAGCGATGGTCCTCTGCCATCAACTCCGCTGGACCGGCCACCATCTCCCAAAGCAGTTGCTCTACTCTGAACTCAAGAACGGATAACGGAATGTTGGTGGACAGGAAAAGAGATTTAAAGATGGGCTCAAGGCCAACCTTAAAAACTCTGGCATAGACACTGAGAACTGGGAAGCCCTGGCCCTTGAGCGCTCCAGTTGAAGGTCAGCTGTGACCAGCAGTGCTGCAGAATTTGAAGAGGCACAATTGGAGGGCGAAAGAGAGAAAGGTGCAAAGAGGAAGGCGCATCAAGCCAACCCCGACTGAGACCGCCTTCCACCTGGAAACCGATTCCCTCACTGTGGGAGAAGATGCGGATCAAAAATAGGGCTCCACAGTCACCTACGGACCCACCAGAACACTGATCCTGGAAGACTATCCTACTTGGCCAATGAGGGATCGCCTAAGTAAGTAAGTAATAAAGATGTAGAACAGAACTGGGCCCAGAACCAAACCCTGCAGCACTTCACTAGTCACTTCTTTCCAGGACAAAGAGGAACCATTGGTAAGCACCCTTTGGGTTTGGTCACTTAGCTAATTGCAGATCCACCTAATAGTAGTATTGGTTGGCCCACATTTGACATTCCTCTTAACTGTTTATTTGAGATTATTGTCCCCTCACTGCTTGGTATTTGTGGTATTTGTCCAATCCTCTCTTTAGCCTTTTGTCTGTTCACTCTGGGCCTCGATAAAGGATAATGTCACCTTTCCCCACACAGTCTAGTTTAAAGTCCATCTGATTAAGATTGCCAGTCTCTGAATGAAAACATGCCTTCTTATTTCTGTGAGGTCCAGCCTATCCCGTGCCAGTAGGCCATCTTCCTGGAAGAGCACACCATGGTCCAGGAAGCCAAATTGTTCTTCCTGGCACCACCTGAGGAGCCAGGTATTTACTTCTACTACTCTGGAGCCCTGAGCAATGATAACTGCAGCTAGGAATGTCTGTATTCCACTTATGTCAATGTCCCAGCTCATCAACAGTGAATGGTTTTTTGCAGAAGCACAGATTAAGCACAGTTCCACTATGCTTCATTTTAGCCACAATAACTTTTGTAACAGTGATTCACAGCCTTTGTTCCATCCTCCAGATGTTTTTGACTACAACTTCCAGAAGTCCCAACCAGTTTGACTGAAAGTCAGGAATTCTGGGAGCTCAAGCTTAACATTTAAGGAAGAATGAAGGTTAGGAGCTAATGTTCTAGAACAGTGGTTCCCAACCCCCCCCCCTTTTTTTTTTTTTTTTTTTTGCAAGGGACCACTTGACCAGGGACCACTTTGACCAGGGACCACTCTCCAACATTAGTACCAAAAGGGTTACAAATCAGTTTTTGGTCAACTTTAGATTTGGTTTGGTTATTTGGGGTGCTGATTCCGAAAAATTGCATTGGTTAGACCACATCAGCTCTAGTTTCTGATGCAGAACATATGCCATCCAGTAGTCGCCATCTGCTTGCTCACAGAAAACTACATTTAATAATCTAGAGCTGATGTGGTAGCAGTAATCTTCCAAAATGCATTCAGGGAGTCCCCACTTTTCATTGACTTCCATATTGTTGGCCAAATGTACACTCATGTGCTTCTCTAATATGTTTTGGGTAGCTGTGAGGCAGGTTTATCTGTTTCTTTCAGTTTTGCTGTCTTGGCAAGATCTACTGTTTTACCTTTCCTGTTATATGAAGGCACACATTGTAGTGATATAAAAGTGTTGTGCAGACAGGAGTGGAGCTTCCGGTGTGTGTTTCAAACTCTCACAGCATGCATTCAATGTGTGCCTGAGAGAGAGACAAAAAAGGAAGAGAGGGAGGCAGGGAAGGATGTTAATTTACATCTCAATCTCTCCTTCAGTCTCCAGTGAATATACCTGACTCCCTTTGCACACAATGGCAGTCTTCCTGCATTGCCTACCCAAAAAAGCACCCACCCACGCATGCACACAACACCTTCCTGTCATGAAAAAGGAGACTCCCAATTTCACAGTCACACATGTTTGGTGCCACAACTTGTACAAAAAAATACAATTCCAGGCTCCCTTTCTGCCTCTTGCACACAACACAAATGCTGCCTTGCACACCCACCAGCTGAAGCTCCCTCCCTCCCACGCACACACACACACACACACACACACACACACACACACGTTTCCTGGCCTCTCAGGCCTATGGCACAGTTTCCCCCTTCACCCCAGAGGTCCTATCCCCGATTAACCCCTCCCACCCAGCTGCTGCACGCTTCCTGCCTCCTGGTCCTCCTCAAACCCTTGCCCACTTTCTCTCCCTGCCATCCCCGCCCCCTAATCCCCACCCCTTTCCCCTGGCTGCCTGGGGAGGAGGCGCTGCCTTTGTTCCGCCAAGGGTTAACCCGGATTGTGTCTGTCACCCAGTTGCCCGGATGCTGATGTAAGGGGAGAGCTCGAGAGATCCCTTCAGATTGCAGTGAGAGGGGAGGCGAAGGACCAGAGCAGAAGAGCATCTTTGCCAAAGCAGCATCCTTCATCCTCAGCAGCATCAGCACCACTGACAGCGGCGGCGGCAGCAACAGCAGCATCCTTGGCTGGACCAGCTGGATGATGCTGGTACCTGGATTGTAGCATCCTTCTCCTCCTTCTCCTCCTTTCTCCTCCTCCTCTCTCCCCCTCCCTTCCTGATGCCCCCTCCCGTTAAATCTGCCAGGATGCCGGCCCCGGCATTGTCCCTATAGGGGGGATATCAGAGGGGCCTTTCCTCGCCTCTCCCCACCCTCCTCCCCTCCCCAATCCCCAACCCCTCTTGTTTCTTCTTGTCGCTCAGAAGGGTGACAGACAAAAGCCATGTCCGGTGGCAAAGAAGCAGGTGGGGTCCACCCCTACCAGTCTCCACAGAGCCAGCAGCACGCTCAGTATGTGGGGCCCTACAGGCTGGAGAAGACCCTGGGCAAAGGGCAGACCGGTGAGTACTTGGTCTAGTGCTGATGCTTTGGGGAAGGAGGTAGCAGGTGTATAGGAGGAAAGGAAGGCCCTCCATCAATCCCCCTCCCCTTAATACCACAGGGCCGGGCAGGATGGGACAACCCCATCAGCATAGCACTGCACCTTCACCTACTCCTCTGGGGGTGATTTGGCTGGATGATCAAGGATAAATTGACCCATTGTGATGAATAGAAAATATATCTGTAGTCAAGATAGAAAAAAGGTTTTGTCCCATTGCAGAATTATGATAAGAGATTGGAAAAGAGGCAGGCTGAGGTTCTGCCTGTTGGGGAAACAAATGGGTGTTGTGTGGCACTGAAGAGAAGACGGGTTGTGGCTTCCTTGGAGTTTCTTTGGGGGAGTCCTATTTGGGACATAATGGGACCTTGGAGGTTAGATTGGGGAAGGTGTCAGGATGGGGGAAGATTGCACTCTGGACTTATCCAGTTATCTCTTTCTGACATTTTTTGGGAAAATAGTATCTGGATATTAACAACCGAGGAAGGCACCAAGGGTGTTTACCCACTAGAGTGTATTTGGGGTGCATGTGCTTGGCTTGCCTGTTCTAAACATGGCAAAGAGACAACACCAATTTTTAAAAAGGTATTTGGGTTGTTGTAAGTTTTTTGGGCTGTATGGCTATGTTCCAGAAGCATTCTCTCCTGATGTTTCACCTACATCTGTGGCAGGCATCCTCAGAGGTTGTGAGGATGGTGTATGTTTGCAAAGGCATGCCATTCCATTTGTCTCTTTTGGCAGGGTGATTATTAAGTCCCACATTGTTTATGTGATAGTAGAGATGGGTGTGTGTGTTTGTGTGTACTCAGACACACACAAAATCTAGTCGAGTCTAGAAGGGGGGAAAACAGCAATGGGTCACCCATATTTCCTGGATGGGTCTATTTTCAGACAGTTGGATCCTGAATCAGAACATATTGGAGGTGAAGTGACAGCATTAACAAAATGCTGCAATGACCAATACTAGTAGGAAAAGGGGAGAAAACAACCGATTCAGATTTATGCCCCAAATAATCCGGTGGAGAGGGGAGGGGGAGAAAGGACTGGCAGGCATCTTTTTTTATATTACTTCTCCTTCTTAAGGCTGTATTTTCAAAGATGAAGAAGCCGAGAAGCCGGGGCGGTGCTGGTGGAGGCTGTGTGTGTGTTTTATGGAGAGGCCTATAGATTCCCCCCCCCCCCCACCCTCCGATCTTCTCCCGCTGCAGCACTCTGGATGAATGGAAGAGTTCTTTTTTTTTTACTCTCTGCAGGGATGCTGATTTGATTGTGCGGTTTAGATTATTGGGCTTGGTTATGAGCGGGATTGTCTGTATCAACGCTTATGGCTAGGCCGTATGGAAAAGAAAACGGGTCTTCTTTAGCTCTTTCTCTGTCAGTCGTTGAATAGAAGACTGAGGATGCAAAGGAGGGGGGAATCCATCCGTCTCTCTCTGCAATGATGCAGGAAAACCCAAACCACCAGGCCTCTCTTTCTCTGCCTCCCGCTCTCTCCCTTTCTCAGTCCTTCAATTTGTATGATTCGATGTGTAAGATGGGTATTGTGGCTTAAAAGGGGAACGGTTATACTGCAGTGGCAGGAAAAGATACCATGACAGAGGAAGAAGGGACCGGGATATCTATATATGTGTGTGAGAGAGAGAGAGAGCAAAGGAGACTGCACGTTTGGGAGAATTCGTAATAATGTATTTTTAAGGATTGTTGCAATTATAGAGATCTGGAGCAGGGAGTCGGAAGAGATCGAAGAAAGCATCAGGGGATAAGGCAGGGTGGAATTTTGCTGAATAATCATTTCTTTCCTGTGGCGGCAAAAGGGTTCATGCGAAGATGCTTCAGGAATATTGGACTGAATGTGTAGATGGAGGAAGGGAGGTTGTAGAGGGAGGAGGGCAGGAAAAGGCCTAGTTGTTTGCTCTATCCCAGAATACAGGGAGAACCTAAACAAACAGATACCTCACCCAAAATTGCCGAGTTCTCTTCTTGTTGTTGCTGTTTTGGTGCAATATCATTTCCTATTTTTAAAGGGAGCATTCTTATTATTATGAGAGTCCTTAGGGTGGTCAGGCATGTTGCTGGGAAATAGCTAAACCCCACGAAGAAGTGACATGCCCAAGGTCACCTAAGGGATGTTGGTAGCAGAGTGGACCCCTATTCATCCTGAAGTATCTCTGCTTTCTTTCTTTCCAGACTGAAGGTGCTGGAATTCTCCAGGAAGGGCTGGTATATGTGGGATGAGTGACACATACACCTATGTAAAGAAGAAATAGATAAAACACTGTATGTGTTGTCAAAGGCTTTCATGGCTGGAATAACTAGGTTGCTGTGAGTTTTCCTGGCTGTATGGCCATGTTCCAGAAGCATTCTCTCCTGACATTTCACCCACATGCACCTATGTAAAGAAGAAATAGATACCTATTGATAAAACACTGTATGTGTTGTCAGAGTCTTTCATGGCTGAAATCACTAGGTTGCTGTGAGTTTTCCTGGCTGTATGTCCATGTTCCTGAAGCATTCTCTCCTGACATTTTGCCCACATCTATGGCAGGCATCCTCAGAGTTTGACGGGTCAGTTTCCAGCAGACCTCACAACCTCTGAGAATGCCTGCCATAGATGTGGGTGAAATGTCAGGAGAGAATGCTTCTGGAACATGGCCATACAGCCCGGAAAACTCACAGCAAAACATTGTATTTTATAAAAAAATATATAGTATCCCTAAGTGGAAAAATTTGTAGCTGATAATGTTTAAAAGAAGCATAGTCACTTCAGTGTGAGCTGGCAAGGAAAGGAGATTCCACCTGAACATTAGAAAGAACTTCCTGACTGTGAGCGCTGTTCAGCAGTGGAACTCTCTGCCCTGGAGTGTGGTGGAGGCTCCTCCTTTGGAGACTTTAAAGCAGAGGCTGGATGACCATCTGTCGGGGTGCTTGAAATGCGATTTTCTGTTTCTTGGCAGAATGGGGTTGGACTGGATGGCCCACGAGTTCTCTAACAACTCTATGATTCAATGATTCTATGAAACGAAAAAGGTTTTGGTCAAATAGCTAGAATAATTTGTGTAGATGTTTTACACCTCTGCTTGAGCAGAAGTAAGATTTAGCACTCTAGATTGTACAGCATGGGTAGGAATCATATGGCCCTCTGGATGTTGCTGGATTGGAACACACAGCATGGTTAAGGACTTTTGGAAGTTGCAGTTCAACAATATCTGAAAAGCCACACAAGTCACACCAAATAGTGTTACTGGTGGTTAACTTTTGAAAGCTGATTGCTTAGAATCTTAAAAGGTTAGATCCAGAAGAAGTTAGGGTGCACTTCAATACCATTAAAATTAGTGGGACTTAAGGTAGCCTTGAATAATATCTCCTGGCGCAAATGTGTGGCAGAATTCCTCTGAATGTAAGCCAGTGAGCCTGGTGTGGGTCTGTCTGACAATCTTTTAAATGTGATCATTGTTTAATAATTCTTAGTCTTACTCTTAGGGCAGCATTTATTAACCTGAGGGTCGGGACCCCTGGAAGGGTCATGCAGGGGGCGTCAGAGGGGTCACCAAAGACCATCAGAAAACACACTATTTTCTGTTGGTCATGGGGGTTCTGTGTGGGAAATTTGGCCCAATTCTATCGATGGTGGGGTTCAGAATGCTCTTTGATTGTAGGTGAACTATAAATCCCAGAAACTACAACTCCTAAATGTCAAGCTCTATTTTCCCCAAACTCCATCAGTGGTCACATTTGGGCATATTGAGTATTCGTGCCAAGTTTGGTCCAGATCCATCGTTGTTTGATTCCACAGTGCTCTCTGGATGTAAGTGAACTACAGCTCTAAAACTCAAGGTCAATGCACACCAAATCCAGCATTTTCTCTTGGTTATAGGAGTTCTGTATGGGAAGTTTGGTTCAGGTCCATCATTGGTGGAGTTCAGAATGCTCTTTAATTGTAGGTGAACTATAAATCCCAGCAACTACAACTGCCAAATGACAAAATCAATTCCCCCAACCCAACCTGTATTCAAATTTGGGCATATCGGGTATTTGTGCCAAATTTGGTCCAATGAATGAAAATACATCCTGCATATGAGATATTTACATTACAATTTATAACAGTAGCAAGGTTACAGTTACGAAGAAGCAACGAAAATAATGTTTTGCTTGGGGATCACCACAACATGAGGAACTGTATTAAGAAGTTGCGACATTAGGAAGGTTGAGAAACACTGCTCTTAGAGAATGTTTCTGAGCGTTTTTTTAAAAGTTGGTGCACACACATCACTTCCTGTCCTAAACAGAGTTTGAACATTTTAGTTCTTGGACTTCAGCTCCTAAACCCCCTACAATCAAAGTTGGGATTTACTGTCCAAAAAATAAACTTTTCCAGGTTCTGCTCTCAGGTTATATTTACTTTCTTTAAAAAGGCTGTAAGAGAGTTTCCCTCACAGATGCTGAGAGGTCTATTGCACATGAAGAGATTAAGAACAATATTTAGATAACCTTTGTTTGTGAAATTAGGATGAGGTACGGCAGAAGAGAACTGTATCTCTGAATACGGGAAATATCATTAACTTCCTTTGTGTTAAAAGTAAAACATCCAGATCCCTTCCCACCCAATCAAATAGTCCATCTAAGTCCTCGACAAGGGAGAGAGGGCGGGATATAAAACAGAGTAAAAATAAATAAATAAAGATAAACACAGTTCTTGGAAGATATTCCTCATGTATATGAGAGTCATATTGTATATATATTAATGTATATATGATGTATATGCATACAATTTGGTTACATATACAACATATATACCTTATTATATCTACAATATGACTCTCATATCAAGGAAGAATAGCTTCCAAGACCTACACATATATGTGCATAACTTAAACCAGGGGTCCTCAAACTAAGGCCCGGGGTCCGGATATAGCCCTCCAAGGTCATTTACCCGGCCTTCACCAAGGGTCAGCCTAAGTCTGA